TTCAATTTCTGGCGGCTTTCTTCATTCAAATTTTTCGATTTTTAATATTTCTGATACTTTCATTGATACTCTACTTTGTAGAAAACAAGATGTTTTGTAGAATGTTATTCTTGCGTTTCTCCTTGACCCTTTTCATGATTGCATGCGATTCCATCTCTCACGTTTTGTCGTTTTTTCAAGTCAGAGCTATGATTTATCCATTTCAACATGAACTTGGTAAACCAGACCCGGAAAGCTGATCTAGCGAACACGATTTTTTTCACTTCTAAGTTCAAGTTTGCTCTGAAGATAATAACTACGGCAGGAACCTACATTGAATTTAACTGCCTATAAATCTGATGATTTTCCAATTGCTTATTCGGAGCACATCAGCAAACTCAAAGAAACTGATAACAGCAGTTGTTTTTAGCAAAATTCGAAAAAGAAACATTTGAAAAATTGTATTACTCTGCATAACCCTCGACAACGAAAATTGATAAAAAGTATTTCACTCATACTACCATCATGATGTACGTGTGCGCGAGAATAAGTTGATGTTTCCCGTAACAGTGAACATAGAAGATTCTCATTCGGAGTATGATAACAATGAAAAAAAAATAAAAGTCAAAAATCTTCATTGAAAGACATTCGGGACAGAGGGAATGATTATATAAATCCTATACTCAACAAACGTTTTGGCGGTTTTCTGGATTCCAACTTCTAAACTTGGAGAATAATAAGTGCGATAACAGATAATGGAAACATACCCCTATTTCTTCAAGGAATCTATAGACTGGAATCATATAGTTATTCGGAGCATATATAGCTGCTTCGGATATAGCTTCCTGGTGATATTTCGAAGGCATCCTTGTCATACCAGGATTCATAGCCATTAATCCATCTGTACCAAAGCAACCCGCACCTTAAAATTGGCTGATAGTTGAATGATATCTGAAAATTTTTTTCTCACCTGAGTCACCAGAAGATGCTTTTGCCGTAATATAGACAAAAAGCTCAACGCTTCTCTCCTTATTTTGATAGATAAAAGGATAGACAGTGTACACGTGACCAAAGGTGAATGTTGGTTGAGGAAGACTTTTTCCGAAGCCGCAGACCATGAAAAACTCCTTGCAACGCACTGCTGAGTAGTGTTTTGAAACAAAAACACAAAGACTGTTCTTAATAATTCATTTCAAAAGATATTCAATCTTAATGACTTACGAGCACGTTTTAATTGTACGACCGCGTCTGGTCGGTTTTAACAGAACAATGTAGATAGAAAACGTTGCCACGTGACGTCGGTGTCGAACTCACGTATCTCACGTGTTCACGTACGTCCTGAAAATTCTAAATTTTCCGTATACTCTCTTTTTATCTTTATTTATATTCGTTTTATTATTTATCTTTTATCCCTTTTCCTTTTTATTTTTTTCGTTCTCCGATTCCCTATAGCCTTAATCCGCAACATTCAGAACAAGTAGGGCAGTTATTTTCCGTTACTTTTGTGTTGCTCTTTAAAATTACGATGTCTTGTTCTTCACAAATATAAGCAAAAGTTTTATTTTTAACATTTCGAAATTGTGTTTCATGTCGGTACGTGACAAGATGACGAGGAGTTAAAGCGACTACGCAGGATCTAAAACCATCCTCCTCAATGAAGAACATGAATTTTCTGATCTATTTAATATTTTGCTTGAAATCTGCCAATATAGGAATGCGTCATTCAGTTTAAATCGCTTGGCAACTCAACAAAAACAAAAAATCTATCGTGGTGGAACCAATTCGAGAAATGCTCTCAAAAGAAACGTCTTACCACACTACTACTTGCTGTGAAACCGGCATACTAGGCCAGAAAATACATTCGGGAGCTCGGCTCGAAATCAAAAAAAGGTCTCGAGCTCGACCTTCGGACATGTCGAGTCCTGGCCTGGCCAAGTATAGAAACGGGCAATTTTCAGTGGCTTCTGAGACAGGAATTTCCTTTGACACCGCTGTAGGGCCTAGGAATAGTAAGAAGATTTGGTGGTGAATGGATTCGTGTTGATACCCGTAATGTTGATGCAGTTGCCCGTGGAAACCAATCATCAGGTATAAAAATTTGAGTTCAAGTTATCAATGAGGCTGCAGGAGCGGATGGACAACCCACCGTCGCTATCATCACATGCTTGTTTGTTGAAAAACAAGCCCTTGATTCCCTAATAGATGATAGTTCCGTGATTCATAAGGTAGAGTATTGTTTTGGGTTAAACCTATTGATCATATACGTTACAGTACAAATCTGGTGGTGATTCAAACGTCTATACCATTGAAAGAATTGGTCCTCATAACGTAGTTGTTAGTTTGTCAGCTCCTCCATGCCTGAAGCTTATATATATTCCCACGACCTGATTCTGGATAGAAAGACAGAAGCTTTAACTGGTTTTGCCACTCGGT